CAACCCTGTCTTTGGCTCTCCTGGTGAGGAATTCCACCCCCTGCCCTTCAACCCCCCCTCCCCCACCACCCACACACAGTCCCCTGGAGCCAGGGGCACCTCCTGGGGTCCCTGAAACAAGGGGTTCTGCCACCCAACCCAGTGCTGCAAGGGTATGGAGGAAGGACAGGGGCAAGCCCTGCCTGAAGACAAGACAGGGAGGGGGACTAGGCAGGGATCTGCCCAGAAAAAGGGCGGGGAGGGAGAGGACACCAGTCCCAGGAGCTGGCCCCCAGCTAAGGCCTGGAAGGGGGAGTACCCGGGGACTCCTGCTTCCTTTGGGGGCTGGCTGGAACCCCAGCCCACCCCTCTGTGGCCCCAGGAGCCCACCAAGTGACCGGGATATTGTGCTTTGGGATGACGCTGGGGTAGAGTGTCAAGGCCAGGATGAGGGGCAGGGGAGGTGTGACTAAGGTGCTTGTGCTTTAGCTGGGGGTGTCAACTCCCCCCTCATACACTTGCCTCCACCCCACACACACACACTTGGGCCAGAAAGAGGAGTGCCAGGATCACAGCCAGACCGGACACCTCCAACTCCACAAACAGATGCTGGAGGGACTCCCTTCCCACAGGCTGGTGGGGGCTACAGGGTGAGGCATGGGGCCTCCAAGTCAGATTCCAAGGGTCCATTCGGATAGCCCCACCCACCTCTAGCAAGCTCCTGCCTCTGGAAGCCATGGGCTGTCAGACTCGGGAGGAGACCAGAAGTGAGAAGAGAGGTGAGGCGAAAGGTGAGGAAAAGGCTAGACAAAAAATGTCAAATGACACCCAGCAGCACAGGGGGATGGGGAGCAAAAAAGAAAAAAAGAGCCCTCTGGTTCACATGTAAAACTCAAAAAAAAAAAATCACTCACACTGGATGAGGCTAGAGAGAGGAATGGTTAGAGACAATTCAGCAAACAACTGCTAACAAATGCAGAGGGTCCTGCCCTGTCCCCAGGAGCTGGGCTCTGCCAACAGGCCAAGGCCAGGGATATCCTTCAAATGTAGCCCAGGCGATGGCTGGGCCTGGGGTCCCGCCTTGGAAACGTGCACCCATACTCTACATGCACGCACACATTCAGCCTACTCCTGCACCCCTCATCCCATCCTACTTTCCATGGCCCCCAGGGACCAAAGGGGACCTCAGACACAGTCCCATTGGTTTGAAAAATAAAAGGAATCTTATACTTCAATATTTCATTAGCTAAAAAAATGTTTTAAAAAGTATGTACAGGGGATGGGAGCTGGGAGCCCTGCCGTGGGATGGGGTGGGGAGGGAGGGAAGGGCAGCAGCCCGCCAGCATGCTCCCCTGTTCCACTGCCTTTCTCATCTTCATTTATTTTAAAGCAAAACTTCTCCACATTCACACACACACGCACCTGTGGGCCTCCAAAACCTCTCCTCCTATCCTCAGAAACTCTGGGTCTGTACCCCTCACTCAGGACCTGCCCCACTCAGGTCTGAGGGGCCTGATGGAGCACGAGAGGCTGAGTACAGGGTGGGGGAGAGAGAAGGGTGCTGGGTGCACCACCGCCTGCCACCTTAGGTCGGTTTAGGTCAGTCGTGTAATTTCTGAGCCTCAGATTTCCTCAGCCGTCACAAGAGCAGTCCCCACAGCCTCGCCTACCCCAGCCCCAGATGCAGGGACAGACGAAGGAGACAGGAAGGCGCTTTTGGAAACATGGAAGCACTGGGAGGTGGTGGCAGGAGGGGTCCTGAGCACCCCGGGGCCCCTGCAAGTCCCATGGGGCTGCAGTGAAGGGTGGAGCAGAGGACTGCCCCTAGACCTCATGGAGGGCTTGGTGGGGGTTACTGGAGGGCGTCGGCTGAGGGGCCAGCCTCGCCGTCATGGCTGGCTGTTTCAAAGCTGTGCTCCACGCCCATCATGTCCGGCTCCAGCTTGCCCGTGTCACTGATGAAGGTGGTGTAGGTATCGCCCTCAGGTGGCTTCCCCTTGGGAATCCAGCTCTTCCGCACGACGCGGCGGGCATTGGTGCACATGTCGGCCGCAATGGCATTCATTTCGCTCTCCTTGAAGTTCGGAGCAAAGTTCTGGCAGTAGTCTGTGCGGGGAGAGTGGACAGCTCAGGCCTAGGTGGCCCTGCCTCCCACACCGCCAAAAGGCCCTTGGCCATGCCTGTCCTGACTCCCCCCCACCCCCACCCCCTCACCCCCCAGGAAGCGGTGGAACCCCTCTTGGAGGGGAGAGAACAGAGGTCTTGCAGAGAGCATGCTAGATCACATTAGCTGGCTCCATGCTTCACTAAGCTCTGCCACATGTAGGACATATGTGGGTTTGACAGGGTGGCCCAGTGGTCTTGAAAAATGTGGACTATTTGCAGAATTTAGGAATTAGGAGACTCCTTCCACCTGCAAACTTAGAGTTCTCTCCTGACAACTGGCTGGGGCTTGGCTGCTTCATAACTAGCTTGAGTTTGAAGATCCTCCCTACCCTCCCATCGGACACAGGCTTCCCTTCAGTGCCCTGTCACCCCCACCCCGTCCCCCCCGAAGAAATCTCTAAGCAGCATAGCCCTCCTCCCAACAAGCCTCGACTGAACCTCCGATCCTTAAAAACCACACCCACCTATCAAGGCCAACACCAGAGAAAAGGACCATCTGCTCACCCAGGGCCCACCCCAGCCGCCTCCAGAACACCAGACACTCAC